ATATTGTTTGCTGAGAACCATGGCAAGGAAAACCTGGCTGCCTCCCCCACCAAGTGGAAAACTGCTTGGGGCATTTTAAAGTAGCAAAACAGTATATGTATATCATACACCGGTTAAAACAATTCTTTAAGGATGGGATACGTGACCCTGGCTCCCTCGTGGAGAATACTTTCTAGTTTGTCTTTGATCAGTGGTCAGTAGGCACCAGCTGCCTACCTGGTTTCTCTTGGTTCTATGAGAAAACACAGAACACCTGTTTGTTAATAAAAATCACCTGTTTGGAGAGAATACCTGGGTCGGAATCTGCTGCAGGCCCTCACAATGGAAAGCTGTTGGCTCCCTGAGGCTCTCAGCTGGGAAGGCTGTTGGCCCCGATAGTCCCACTTTGCTGTTCTATCTGGGTGTCTGCTTCTTAACTCCTACAGCGCCACCTGGGTGGGCGTCTCTACCACCACGCTGGTCTCTGTACTCTGATTCGTGTATTTTCTCATTCTTGTGAACCACACTTTGTGTTAAAGAATATGGTAGCCTCATAGCTGGGTACATTAATTTCATATTTAATCATGTGAGTTTTTTAATGGAATAAAGGCATCATAGACTATATAAAGACATCTATGAAAATGAGCCGGTTTGATGGTGTTTTTCCGTCTTGAAGAATAGTATGTAAAAATACGCAAAGTGCTTTACAAGTAAAGATTGTTAATATACACCTGTAGTTTATCTTGGTATAGATTAGGTTTATATGTTAAGAAACATCCAAGGAGTAGAATTTGCCAAGTAGAGCGTAGCAACAAGCACTCGGATTGTACTTGACAATCCTAAGACATTATCATTTGCTTTTTTTTTTTTTTTTTTAAGATAAGGAAACAGAGGAAATACTGTATTGTCAAATAAGTATCACACGCAAGCTCACACAGTTGGCAAGTATGGCACTACACAATTTTGTCAGGCCATTTTCATTTAGATATTGTCTGGCCACATTAAAACAGAAAACGTTGCTCTTAGCTCGGTGGCTCATGCTTATAATCCCAGCACTTTGGGAGGCCGAGGTGGGCAGATCACAAGGTCTGCAGATCGAGACCATCCTGACCAATATGGTGGTGGCAAGCATCTGTAGTCCAAGCTACTCGTGAAGCTGAGGCGGGGGGGAATTGTGTGAACCTGGGTGGCGGAGGTGGCAGTGAGCTGAGATTTCGCCACTGCACTCCAGCCTGGAGACAGAGTGAGACTCTATCTCAAAAACAAACAAAAAGATGCTGTAGGCCAGGCACGGTGGCTCACACCTGTAATCTAGCACTCCTGACCTCAGGTTATCCGCCTGCCTTCACCTCCCTAAGTGCTGGGATTACAGGCATCAGCCACTGTGCCCGGCCTTGCAAGGTTCTTATAATGTGAGGAATATATGTATAAAGCATCTTGTTATAGCCTGGGCCATAATACTTATACAGTTAATTAGAGCTGTAAGAGCCTATCACTTCTCTGTGCTGATTTTCTTTTCCTATATATATATTTTTGAATATATATATAGACAGTGAATATATATATAAAGAATATATATATTTAATATAGGCCGGGCACGGTGGCTCAAGCCTGTAATCCCAGCACTTTGGGAGGCCGAGGCGGGTGGATCACGAGGTCAAGAGATCGAGACCATCCTGGTCAACATGGTGAAACCCCGTCTCTACTAAAAATACAAAAAATTAGCTGAGCATGGTGGTGCGTGCCTGTAATCCCAGCTACTCAGGAGGCTGAGGCAGGAGAATTGCCTGAACCCAGGAGGCGGAGGTTGCAGTGAGCCAAGATCGTGCCATTGCACTCCAGCCTGGGTAACAAGAGCGAAACTCCGTCTCAAAAAAAAAAAAAAAGAATATATATATTTAATATAATATATAATATATATTATATATATATAATAGAATATATATATAAAGACAGTGAGACTCTGTCTTTCAGGTTTGACTGCAGTGGTGCAATCATTGCTCAATATAGCCTTGACCTCTCAGGCCCAAGCAATCCTCCCATCTCAACCTCTCAAGTAGCTAGGACTATAGGCATGTGCCACTCTGCCTGGCTAATTTTTTGTGCTTCTCGTACAGATGAAGTCTCACTTTTTGCCCAGGCTGGTCTCAAATTCCTAAGCTCAAGCCATTCTTCTACTTCACCCTCCAAAGTGTTGGAACTACAAGTGTGAGCCTCTGTACCTGGCCTTGAATTTTAGTTTGTGTTGACTTCCCACTTGACTTGGAGAAGGTAAAAAAACGGGGTTGGGTGTGGCGGCTTATGCCTACAATCCCTGCACTTTGGAGGCTGAGGCGGGAGGATCACTTGAGCCGAGGGATACAAGACTAGCCTGGACAACATAGGGGGATGCCCCTCCCTACAAAAAAATTAAAAATTAGTTGGGAGTGGTGTCATGTGTCTGTAGTCCCAGCTAGTTGGGAGGCTGAGGTGGGAGGATTGTTGAGTCACTTAAACCTTCCTTTATAAATTTCCCAGTCTTAGGTAGTTTCTTTGTAGTGGTGTGAAAATGGACTAATACATTAACTTTGGTAGGCCAGGGCAGGAGGACTGCTGGAGGCAAGGAGTTAGAGACCAGCCTAGATGATATGGTGAGACTCCTATCTCTAAAACAAAGTAAAAATTAGCCAGGCTTGGTGGCATAAGCCTACAGTCCCAGCTACTCAGGAGGCTTAGGCAAGAGGATGGCTTCAGTCCAGAAGGCTGATGCTGCAGTGAGCCATGATCACACCACTGCATTCCAGCCTGGGTGAAAAGTTAAAACATTCAAAAAAGTAAAAAGAAACTTGCAGTTAAAAGACAATAATTCCTGAACTAGATATAAACACAACAAAATCCACTATATGTCATTTACAAGTGGCATACGTAGAACATAAATGCATAGAGAGTTTGAAAGGGAATGAATAGATTTGTCAAGCAAATAACAGAAAAAAGACGGTAGAGTAGCATGAGTACAAACTAAAATGCAGAAAACATTACACGGTGATAGATGGTTCACTTCACCAGGAAGTTACATACATAATTTTTGTTTACACCTAGTAATAAACAGTGTCAGAATATATAAGGCACAATTTGCCAGAACAATGAAAAGATATTGACAAATGTGCCCCCAGAAGATTTTAAAACATCCTTCTTAGTAATTGATGGATTCAACAGAATAGATAACAGGCTACAGACAGATTTGTGTGACATGCTTAACAAGATTGTTCTAAAGAACATAGATAGTGCATTGTACCAAAGCACACATAAACCATCTGCAAACACGGATCACACGTCAAGCCACAAGGCTCAACACACTTCAAGGCCTCAGTTATCCTAGAATCAAATAATTTCAGTGTGGTACCAGCCAAGATTCCTATAAGCAAACAAAATATGAGGCTTAAATGTTAACTCTCCTCTTTGAGACCTACTATAAAATTTTAGTTCATATTACATCGTGTGGCAGGTTAAATCATGTTTTCTGTAAACCCTACCAAAGCCAGTGGTTTTTGTTGCAGTTGGCCTATTACATGGGTCTTTGTCCCAGTGGCAGCATTATACAAGAAATTATGGAGTTTTTATAAGCTGTGATAGAGTGTTACTGCCCTATATTATTAATATATATTATTTTTCGTAACATATATTATTGTCCTTGTACTCCTGCTCTAATTTCTTTCACCCCAGTTTTTGCACTCCCCCCCACATCCAGTATCTCACGAAAATTTTCATAAAGGAACAATGTCTGCTGTATTCTCAGGATCAATCTAAATAATCCCAATCAGGTATAGGCAGTACTTACAAAGACTTTTCAGCCACACACCAAAGATTGTGTTCCACTTGAGTGAAAATCACAGAGTTTATGATCCTTGTGAGAACCCTCTATTCATAAACTTGCCTGGTTCTTTTCGTCAGCGTTTTTTTTTTTTTTTTTTTTTTTTTTTTCGTTTTTTTTTTTTTACGTGAGTGCCTCCATTTTGTTTCTGACAACTTTCTTTTTTTTTTTTTTAATTGCATTTTAGGTTTTGGGGTACATGTGAAGGACATGCAAGATTATTGCATAGGTACACACATGGCAATGTGCTTTGCTGCCTTCCTCCCCATCACCTATATCTGGCATTTCCCCCCATGCTATCTCTCCCCAACTCCCTACCCCCTGCTGTCCCTCCCCTATTACCCCACGACAGACCCCAGGAATATTATGCAGCCATCAAAAACGATGAGTTCGTGTCCTTTGTGGGGACGTGGATGAACCTGGAAACCATCATTCTCAGCAAACTGACACAAGAACAGAAAATCGAACACTGCATGTTCTCACTCATAGGTGGGTGTTGAACAATGAGAACACATGGACGCTGGGAGGGGATTCTGACAACTTTCACACCTCTCTCTGCTGAACCTTTCCTGTATTGTCCCAGAGATCTGCATAATGACCATGATTTAGTCAGGTATCAGAAAAGCTGTGTTTTTCACATGGACACAAGGAGGGTAACCACACACACTGGGGCCTGTTGGGGGGGTTGAGGGGAGGAGAGCATCAGGACAAATAGCTAATGCATGCTGGGCTTAATAGCTGATGGGTTGTGAGGTGCAGCACACCACCATGGCACACGTATACCTATGCAACGAACCTGCACATTCTGCACATGTATCCTGGAACTTAAAGTGAAATAAAATTTAAAAATTTCTTTTAAAAAGAAAAGCCACATTACTACATCCGACATCAAAAGAATATAACATGCCTAAAACTGGAGAGTTACTGTTCATGAAATACAAGTTAATGTAAAGCAAATTGTCCTTCTATTTCAAGCATATGCTCAAACATTTAAGAACATTTTGCCAGTTTTAATTACTAAATAATTTTGGTTTTAAAACTATTTGTTTCATTTTAAATTTCCATTTAGACTGCAGGGGTGTCCAATCTTTTGGCTTCCTTGGGACACACGTAAAATACACTAACACTGGCAAGAGCTGATCAGCTATTAAAAAAATTGCAGAGAGGCGGAGCCGCCCGCGGAGCTAAATGGGGCGAAGGCCGAGCGGAGGGGTCCCCGCGCCGCCGCCACGGAGCAGTCCCGCACCGCCCCCCGCCTGTAGGTCGTGCTGGGCCACCTCGGCCGCCCGTCGGCCCAGGCCATCGTAGGTCATCCCACTTCAGGGACTATTTCCTCTGCCAGTTTCCATCCTCAACAATTCCAGTATAGTCTGGATAATAATGTTCTCACCCTGGAACAGAGAAAATTTTATGAAGAAAATGGGTATCTTGTAATTAAAAATCTGGTATCTGATGCTGATATCCAACGCTTTCGGAATGAGTTTGAAAAAATCTGCAGAAAGGAGGTGAAACCATTAGGATTAACAGTAATGAGGGACGTGGCCATTTTGAAATCAGAATGTGCTCACGGTGAGAAGATGATCACGAAGGTCCAGGATTTCCAGGAAGATAAGGAGCTCTTCAGATACTGTACTCTGCCCGAGATTCTGAAGTATGTGGAGTGCTTCACTGGACCTAATATTATGGCCATGCACACGATGTTGATAAACAAACCTCCAGATGCTGGCAAGAAGACGTCCCGCCATCCCCTGCACCAGGACCTGCACTATTTCCCCTTCAGGCCCAGCAATCTCATTGTTTGCGCCTGGACGGCGATGGAGCCCATCGACCGGAACAACGGCTGTCTGGTTGTGCTCCCAGGCACCCACAGGGGCTCCCTGAAGCCCCACGATTACCCCAAGTGGGAGGGGGGAGTTAACAAAATGTTCCACGGGATCCAGGACTATGAGGACAATACCGCCCGGGTGCACCTGGTGATGGAGAAGGGAGACACTGTTTTCTTCCATCCTTTGCTCATCCATGGATCTGGTCGGAACAAAACCCAGGGGTTCCAGAAGGCAATTTCCTGCCACTTCGCCAGTGCTGATTGCCACTACATCAGTGTGAAGGGCACCAGTCAAGAAAACATTGAGAAGGAAGTGGGAGGATTAGCAAATAAACTCTATGGCATTGCAAATACCGTGGACTTGAAGGATATTTGGATGTTTCGAGCTCGACTTGTGAAAGGAGAAAGAACCAATCTTTGAAATAGCCCTCTGCTATAACTCTTTTAATGGAAAACCAACACCAAACAAAGTGTCTAAGGAAAATGTTTCTTAATGAGTTAATGTAACCTTTTCTATCACTTGTTAAAATCAGAAAACATGTATCAGGTACTAAGTGCATGGAATTAGTTTTGCTCTACAATGGTGTTGCTTTAATGGAAATAACAACAGTAAAAGGGAAAAAAATAAAAACAAAAGCACAGTAAAAGTGAAATACTACTGTTTTAAGGAAAATTAATTTAGGGTTGCATCCATTAAAGAGGATTGGTGTATAAAAAAAAATTGCAAAAGATCTCATCATGTTTTTTGAGAGAGAGTCTTGCTCTGTCGCCCAGCATTGAGTGCAGTAGCACAATCTCAGCTCACTGCAGCCTCCGCCTCCTGGATTCAAAAAATTCTCCCACCTCTGCCTCTGCATTGCTGGGATTACAGGTGTGCATCACCATCCTGGCTGATTGTTGTATTTTTAGTACAGACAGCGTTTAGCCGTGCTGGTCAGGCTGGTCTGGAACTCTTGCCCTCAAGTGATCTACCAACCTTGGCCTCCCAAAAGTGCTGGAATTACAGTTGTGAGTCACCATGCCCTGCCAAGAGCTCATAACGTTATAATATTTGTTGGGCAACATTCAAAGCTGTCCTGGGCCGCCTGCAGCCCATGGGTTGAGACAGCATGATTTAGAGCTTACTCTTCCCAAATACTAAAACATACCATTAATTATCGTCCTTAATTTTTAAAAAAACATTATTTTCCACTGACTTTAAGATTTTTGAGGGGTTTTACAATTAAAAAAAAAAAAACCCACAAAAAAACAAAAGCAGAGCCCTGGAAAGAAAACTAAGAAAATAGCATTTTAGCCCATCAGAAGCCAAATTGAAAGAGAAGAGATACAGGTTCCAAGAGCCTAGGATAAATTGGGCATTAAATGTATCTCTGAGGGAAAACATTCCAGACTGAAATATATAGATAAGATTGCCTTTTCCTGCCCCTACATTCTTATGTAAAGGATATTTATAACATTGTAATCACACAGAATTCAAAAACTAAATAAATAATTTTTTTCAATTACTGTTATTCAAGCGTTAAAAAAACAAAAACAAAACAGCCCATGTCCAGGACTCCAATCAATCAAGCAAAAGGATCTCAGAGAAAGGGAACAACCTCTGCTTGTCACGTTTTCTCACTTTCCTCAATTTTCTGGAAAATCTGAAGGTCGCAGAGGTAGAGATGGAAATCTGTTTAAGGTCACCAAGACTTCAGAAGGCATGGGATGGGGAAAGCTATTTTTAATGATATTGTTAATCTCAAGATAGAGTGACCCAATAATCTTTCTAGAATACCGTGTTCAGGAAAAACTTTTAACTTTTATTCATTTGCCGCTTCTGAACATTGATGCTTCGTGCCTCTTGGGGGACATACAAGGTGTCTTGGTGACCCCAGGTGGTGGCCTGGAGGAGTCGGGCGGTGGCAGGAAGTCATTGGATGGAGTGGGGAAGCCCCTGCCTCTGGTGCCCTTGGCCTTGGGGGGCGTGGCAGGGCTGCCGCTGGTGTCTGAGGACCACTGGTGTCTGGGGGCAGGCTGGATTTTGGGGCATGTGGGGCCTTGGGTGCTCCGGGCTCATGGTGGTTCTGGAGGGCTGGCTTTGTTCCCTGCAACTGAATGACAGCAGCATTCACTATTTGAAAATTTCTGAAATTTTAAATTTATTAATTAATGGAGACAGGGTCTCACTCTGTTGCCCAGGCTGAGTGCAGTGGTGCGGTTTGGGCTCAGTGCAGCCTTGACCTCCCGGGCTCAAGCGATCCTCCACCTCAGCCTCCCGAGAGCATTCTTCATTCTTGACAACACAGCCCCAGGGGACAGGACATGCCATAGACATGTGAGGTCTCTGTCTGCCCCCTGGGGAGCCTCTGTCCCTCAGTCACCTTCAGTCATTGAGACTCCTGGTTGTTTATGAGCTGGTCTTTTCTCTGGAATAGTGAAATGACTCCAAATGGCCTTTGTTATTATTGTTATTTATTTATCATTTATTTTTGAGATGGAATCTTCCTCTATTGTCCAGGCTGGAGTGCTGTGGAGTCATCTTGGCTCCCTGCAACCTCCTCTCCCTGTTTCCAGTGATTCTTCTGCCTCAGCCTCCCTAGTAGCTGGGACTCCAGGCGCTGGCCACCATGCCTGGCTAATTTTCTATTTTTAGTAGAGACGGGGTTTCACTATGATGACTAGGCTGGTTTTGAACTCCTGACCTCAGGCGTTCTGTCCACCTCAGCCTCCCAAAGTACTGGGATTACAGGTGTGAGCCACTGGACCTAGACTATTTTCCCTTTTTAAAGAGCAGTTATTGGAACAATGCGAATGGTTTAGGACATGGGCTTATAGGGGCAGCTAGGTGGAATGTGTGTCAGCTGCTTGCTGGCCTCACCTTCCATGTTTCAGCATGTGTCTGGGCCTCTTGGAGAACATCACTGACAGAATGTGCATCCTGGGGCATCTGTCCATTGGGCTGGGGGGGTGCCTTTTACAGGTCCTGAGATGGAGGAATCGAGAAAAGGGGAGTGAGCAAAGCATTTTCAACATTCTTGCAAGTTAATCTGAAAATACAAAGCAGTTTACATCTCTAAAGAAAAGAAAGATACTTGCTGGCTACTTCTTACAAAAAAAATAAAAATATAGCAAAAAAAGCAATTCTCAGGCATGGCATGGTACACAAGACCTTATGAAAAATCTGAGGTTCTATGACAAAACTTTTTATGAGATTCAGCAAAAGGTTCAGGAAGGTGAGAATGGTATTTTATAAACCCCACTGAGGAGGGTCTGGATTAACTGGGATCGTGGAGAGGAATAGTTTGTTTTACTTTAGAAAACCTTTTCATAATTGAAGAATAAACCTTGAAAACCTATTTACCTTCAAAATAATTATATTGTTGTTTTCCCTGAAATGTATTTATCTAGTCTCATACCACACTGAGTACAGGAACAACTTTTGAACATTGTCCTCAACAAAGAGTACACTGGACAGAGACATAATAGAGATTTGGGCAAAATGCGGGGTTTCCTGAAATAATCTGTTATTCGATGTGTTCCCCACCCCCCCCAAAGTCCTGGTATTGCGATTTTATTTTCTTGCCTTTTAATTTGTCCTTTTGACACAAAGCTTGACTCATGGAAGGTTTATAGTTGTGAGAGAATCAGATAGAAGAAGCTCTACGTTCATTTCTCAGGCTCCTTAGAAAGCATCCCACAGAGGACCGCCACCTCTCCACACTCGAGCTGTTTCTCCTGCAACTGAACTGCCCCACCCAGACCACACCAGAAGATCTTCAGCTCCTCTCCCTGTGAATGCAGAGATGCTTTAGCCAAACTCAGCACCACTGTTCTGCCTGTCTATTTCTTAAACTAGTTTTCCAGTAATTTCAGAAACCCATTAATCTATATGACAACTCAAAGAACAACTTCAGGAGATTAGAAATAAACAACCAAAAAGAAAAAAAATAATGGAAAGTTTGGCTGGGCTCTGGTGGTTCATTCCTGTAATCTCAGCCCTAGGGCAGGCTGAGGTGGGCAGATCATTTAAGGTCAGAAGTTTGAAAACACAATGGCCAATTTGGTGAAACCTTGTCCCTAGTAAAAATACAAGAAAATATAGCCAGGCCTGGTACTCTCATCTCAGGTACTGGGGAGGCTGAAGCAGGAGGACTGCATGAACACGGGAAGCAAGGATTATAGTGAGCTGAGATTGCACCCCAGCCTGGGTGACAGAGTGAAACTCAGTCTCAAAACAAAACAAAAAAGAATAATACAATGGCCTTTGGAAAATGAGGGGGAAACTTTAAGAAGGGGGAGAAAGATAAGAGACTACAAATTGGATTCCGTGTGTATTGCTTGGGTGAGATGCACTAAAACCTCACAAATCAACACTAAAGAAGTTAGTCAAGTAACTGAATACTACCTGTTTACCAAAAATGTATCAAAAGAAAAATTAAAAATTTTTTTGAAAACTGTGAAAATTGAGTACAGTATTTTCAAGTTACAAAGGTACATCTATCATGAAGCTTAATTATTCTAACGTTAAAAGAAATGAAGAGAACAAAGTTTAGAGAAGCAGTCAGACATTTCCTCCACAGCAATAAAATCTGTAGCATACATTTTGTATTCTGAAACTTAGCTTTCAGCCAGCCTGTGGGAAGAAGAAGAGGGCCCAGGACTGGGCATTGGGGTAGGAAGGAGGAGAGAAACTGGACACAGCAGGGAAAGAGAAGGGGTTGGGACTCGAGGCAGAGCCAGTCCTCCTGCTTGGGACCTGGGCCTAGGAAAGTTAACTGGGGGCAGAGTGAGGAGCCCCAGGCTGTGGATGCCTCTGGGGGGTGCTTTACATCAGTAGGGCAAGGGGAGGTCCTGAGGCCTAGGGGTATCCATAGCCTCCCCACCTTTGGTTGTCTTCTGGTCACCAATGTGCTGCAAGTCACGACCCTTGCTGGCTTCCAAATCCGACTGGGCAGGCTCCAAAGCAGTGGGGTCTGGCGCTACTGTCACCTCCACCTCATAGATCTCAGAGCTGCAGGACGGCTCCCTTGACGTCACCCTGAGCTGGCCCCGCTTGGGCCTGGCAATGGGGGACAGCGTGTTCCAGGCACTTCTGCTCCTTTCTGCTGGGGCCTGTGCCTTTGCTGGCTGTCCACTCATAGATATCTCAGCCCCAGGATGGCTGAGGTTGACTTTGGTGCACATGTGACAGGTCAGTGTGGTCCCCATGGGGCAATTCTGATTTTCTTGGGCGCTTGGGCCTCTGCCTGCCCATATGTCTGCAGAGCTCCACACCTACCATGTCCAGGACAGCCCTGGACCATGGGGCTGTACCCTACTTGCAGCCGGCACCCTGCCTCACCTGTCCACCCTGAGCTGACTTCTCTGCAGCAGTCAGAACCTGCCTGGTTGATTTAGAATGGACCTGGATGCACCAAACCTGACAGCTGTGACTGTGGGAGGAGAGAGCACAGATGGAGCTCCTCATCCTCTGCCACTACCCACGAACTGAAGATCCCCCGCTGAAGACCCCCAACTGAAGACCACCAACAGAGGGTACCAACTGAGGGCACAAAACAAAGGCAACCACTGAGGGCAGCCACTGAAGGCCACCAGGGGAAGGCCGCTTGACCTGCCAACCAGACCGCATCCTGGTTAAGAGGAAACAATCAGGCCCAGGGCACCTCCATACTTCCCCCAAACTCGGAACTTGAGGGAATAGGCACAAGGCTCACTAGGCCCCGCCCTGCCAGCGGTCCC